TAGTGCGACGTAAATTAACAACAACAACTTAAACTATTAAAAATTAATTATTCATCATTTAAACATATTTATTGGTATAAAATTAACTTTAAAAAACTATTCCTTCAACATAAGTAGGAAATTAAATGGTATGTATTATGCATATTTTAAACATTTTCATTGAAACAAAAAATATACAATAAAATTTTTATTATATACTATAAAATTTTTAATTTTATTTTTTTAGATAGTTAAATACAGAATTAAAATTATACGCGGAAAATGTAACTTTTTTTTTCAAAAAAAAAAAAAAAAAAAAAAAAAAAAAAAAAAAAAAAAAAAAAAAAANAAAAGATTAACTTACCTTTTTAAGGGCCGCTAGAAACGAATTGTTACAAAAAATATTATAAATAAAATAAATTTCAGAGAAACATTTTACCAACCTGATGAATTTTATTTTTAGCATCTGGTGTTGAGCAATTAAGTTTCCCAGGAATTTCGTCCATGTAATAAATTTTTACTTTCCGAAAATTCACCTTTAAATATAAGGACTATTATACAAATATAAAACAAATATTATTTTTATAAAAATAATTTACTTGCCGATTACTTCCGAAATACTTGTGCACAATTTAGTTTCAATAAAAGAGTAAATTATTATCTGAGCTAATAATAATTTTAGATTAGCTGATAAAGCGGGTGCATCCATGACACATCTTTTCCTAACCTCGCTAAGACTTACAGACTCCTTAATTAATTCTTATTACCTCGAAATCCAAATTATTTTAGTTCAGTTACAATGACTGACCTTGACAATTATTCGTCTGAAATTGATAATAATTTTTTATTAAGTAATCGTTTACGATCTCTGAATGACAGATTCTAATTAGATTATTGTCATAAATTTTATGTTAATGGCGATAATCTGAGAACAATTTTTATGTAACAAAAGAATATGTCAGGAAATAATAAGCATGTTTTGGCTAATTATTTAACTGCAAAGGAAAGTTAAATGTGGATCTGAATATGCAAATAAACAGTGAGTATGTTTTATTTAAATAATAAAATCAAAGATGCATCTACACTTTAACGCTTTTCTTTGTAGCTAGGCCCTTTTTTGTATCAATATCATTTTTAGTTCATTCAACATTTGGAACGATAACAAAAACACTACTATCTATGCTTATTGCAAAAGGCATTAGTATCTTAAATTATGCTGATTGTTCGTAATCATAGCCCTTAATATTAATTTTTATAAACCACGAGAAAAAGAAAGTAAATGATTAGTGAAGAAACAACGCAGTTTAGAAAATGTTTATCTCAAATTTATGCTTAAAGAAAAATTTTATCTGAACCTGACGAACCATTAACGAGAAAGGCGATACTCAAAAAGTCAAAACCCATTTAGTTGTCAGAAGAAACTAAAAAGGGGAAAAGACTTTATTGAAAACAACTTCAAAATTTGATGTTCAATTACGTTCTTCTCAGTAGTAATTCGACAGAATTCGATAACGTTTTCGTTTTTCACCACTTATATTATTTCGTGCCCCTATTTTGTATACTTTTTTCATGTCAATTTTCGCCATATTACAGAAAACCTTGTTTACTAATAATATGATATCTAAAATTTTTCTAGAATTCTGAAAAATACTTACTCTTTTGTCCAGTGGCACTTTATTGTTGTTGTCAGATAAAATTCGCACCAATAAGGGCAAATCTTTGGCGTATCGACACATTGGTCCTGTGCTAATGAAATCATCCAATAAGGCGTCTTCGTCTGCATCTTCCGGGTAGCAGCCCCCGTTTGATATATAATCTATTCAACCAAAAGAATTCGTTGAAATGTTAGGTTGCAATCAAACAATTGAGAAAGCTGACAAAACATCTAAACTTCATGTCAACTTAATTTCGTATTGTTTTATTTAATTTTATGACCGTCGGCGAAAAGCTGACCAAATTGTTTGAGTTTTCGACTACCAATGTTCAATTCAATAGCCTTGTACTCGTAATTTTGTAGACCAGAAGACGAGGAAACTCTTGGATTAAATATTGGGAGCAATTTGTCTTTGCAGAGGACTCTTTGATAGAACTGATGGAACTAACCCGCATTTGAGATGCATAGAGAGGAAAACCACAAAAAACCCCATGGTTAGCCTGATGGCAAGGGGACTCTAACGCATGATCTGCATACCACTGAGGATATCGTAATTCAGCATTGTGATCCGTGTGAGTCCGTGAGCCTCCACAGTTCAAATTATTCGTATTGTTGTGAAAGTTAAATAGAGTATGTATTGTGTTTTTAAAATATAACAATTCAATATTTTGAAATTTGGATAAAGAATGGGTCTGTTTCGTGAAGTGGAGCTTTTGGAGATCACTCCAAAATTCTTCAACTTTTAAGAAGTTCATCGTTTAACGGTAAAAGTTTGTTAATCGCTTAACTGTTGATTTTTCGTTTGATTCAATTAATGAATTTTACGTGCCATCATTAATCTTTTTGTTTATAATAATTCTTTTATCAATATTTTAGAAATTTGTTTAAAAAAATTAAACTGCAATGAAAACAGTTAAAATCTTAAAGAAAAGTAAAATACAATTCCCGATTTTTACAAACTTGGGGAACATTTCTACTACAAATAATTTGACAATAGATGTGAGAAAACATAAAATTAAGATACTTTAGACATGTTCAAATTTAAGTACATCTAAGTACATGTTCAAATACGCATGAGCAGCTCGTCTACAACAGGATAGCCTCTCTAGAGGCGTGCATTAACAATTTATTGAATTATTAATTTTTATGATGTGCTCTCTTCCTTACTTCCAAGTTTGTTGGCAGAGTTCAGAAACACCCAATATATTAAGAGCTATAGTGAACTATGTCCCTGAAACTAACATGAGAGAACTAAATTCATAAATCTAATAGACTCAAATCGCAAAAGGATTCTTTTCATGTTAATAACAACATTTATCTCAAAACTATTATTTATAGACTTGATTCATTTTAGCTCTGATTACTTCAAATAGGAACAACGCATTTTAATGGGCAATTGTTATAGCCAATCCATCTACATTTGCCGCCGGCTTTTTTATACACTACCAAATTATGATGACGCGAACTGAAGTATAAATATTTGAAAAACACGTTTAAGGAGATAAACTTTTTATAATAATTGGGTACTTGCAACTCTAGAAAAAGTGAAGTGATTGATCTGATTTAATATGATTTGAATCACCTGATGCTCGATCAGGCGATTTAAATCAGATTTAATTGGATACCTGTAAGAGACGTCATGCGCGTGTGTCGAACCTGATTGGCTTCTGAATCGACAAATGCCACGATTTACCAACGATGGTGTAACTTGTTGGTGTCCAATTATTTTAAACTAATTTATAAGTTGAAACTTAAGTTCATAATAATAAGATACTCACTTCGGGAAGGCTTATGCCCAAAAATTCCACAAAATGATGATGGCATTCGTATGCTACCAGCCATGTCGTTTCCGATACCAATAACAGCAGCAGCAGATGTTATTATAGCTGCTTCCCCACCTGAAAAATTATGACATATTTGGCATGTTTAGTGAATAAAAAGCCAATCGCTGTTTCATACAATTTACTTAATCTAACCGAAAAGTATTGTCTTAATTGGCTTGGCATTGTTGCCATTTTTCACGCTTTTTGTTTAAGGTACTTTCTATTGGTAGCGATGTAACAGTTGAATTTGCAATTTGAGGCAGAAATTGTCTTACATTCTCAAATAATTAATATTTCTTAAAATTGGATAAGGATTTGGATGCATTTATTTATAATATTTATGAGTAGTGGTAGTAAAAATAATTCGACTTTTCTAAATAAAATATAAATATTAAAGGTATATATTTTATTACTAGTTTAAGTACAAAAAGAAAATCTCAAAAGAATCTGAAGAAAATCAATCAAAAGATTCGGCAGCTATGGTTCAGACACTTGCCCCATTGTGTTAATAGTTGCGCAATGTCATGCTCGCAAAAACCATTGACTATAGTTTGAATAAGCTTTGCATCCACATCTTGATTTCTTCGTTTGTTTGAAACCGTAGTCCTTTTTTGAGCTGATGGAAAATATAAGACACATCAAAATAGATCTGGACTATAGGGCTTAGGATCAGCATTTGAGTTTCTGCCGAAGTTCATTGGTTATATTTGCTTTTTGCAATCTAGCATCATCATGCAAAAGAATGTGTTCAACTAGACGTTAATGATGATATTTCGATTTCGTTGCCTTTATGAGCTTTGTTAAAATTTTCAAATAATACTTAGTTTTATAGCTACTAGAAACTAAAATAGATAATCTTTTTGAGAATCTCACCATCATTGTGCGTTCTTTTTAGAAACGGAACAATTATATATTACTCAAATTTCCTCATTTTGTTTTCTTATGCTATTATATGGATTCAGTGCAATAAGGTTTACATTAAAATTTATAGAATTATTACTTCGTTTTTGAACTATTACGTCGAATTGAACTTCGGTTTTTGTGTTATCATATGGATTTTGTAAAACGAATTTTGCATGAAAAAAAAATATAGATTACTGATTGAACATCCTCCAACTGTTCTTGTGTTATCATATTAATTTTGTTAAACGACTTTGCATAAAAAAATTATGGTTTACTACCCTGAATTTCCTCTAACTGTTCCCTTATTATCATGTGGATTTAGTAAAACGAGTTTTGACAAAACAGTTATGGATAACTCCCTGAACTAACTCCAATTGCTCTTGTGTTATCATACGGATTTAGTAAATCGAGTTTTGCGTGAAAAAAATATGGATTACTACTTGAACTTCCTCCAACTGTTCTTGTGTTATCATATTAATTTTGTAAAACGACTTTTGCATAAAAAATATGGATTACTACCCTGAATTTTCTCTAACTGTTCTTTTATTATCATATGGATTTAGTAAAACGAATTTTGCCAAAGCAGTTATGGATTACTCCCTGAACTTCCTCCAACTGCTCTTGTGTTATCATACGGATTTAGTTGAACGAGTTTTGCGTGAAAAAAATATGGATTACTACTTGGACTTGCTCCAACTGTTCTTGTGTTATCATATTAATTTTGTAAAACGACTTTGCATAAAAAAATTATGGATTACTACCCTGAATTTCCTCTAACTGCTCTTTTATTATCATACGGATTCAGTAGAACGAGTTTTACCAAAACAGTTATGGATTACTCCTTGAGCTTTCTCCAACTGTTCTTGTGTTATCATACGGATTGAGTAAAACGAGTTTTGCATAAAAAAATTATGGATTACTACCCTGAATTTCCTCTAACTGTTCTTTTATTATCATACGGATTCAGTAGAACGAGTTTTACCAAAACAGTTATGGATTACTCCTTGAGTTTTCTCCAACTGCTCTTGTGTTATCATACGGATTGAGTAAAGCGAGTTTTGCATAAAAAAATTATGGATTACTACCTGAACTTCCCCCAACTGTTCTTGTGTTATCATATGGATTTTTAGACATGCCAAAGACAAGGTTTGCACTCTCCCACCACAATAACGTTTCTGGAACGTTTGTAACAGTCACAGGTATTGCTCCAGCTTTTCTATATAGTGCTGTAGTATCGGCATCTTGTGCAGCAACTGCATTTTTCGATTTATAATAACCACAAGTTTGGGCCATTCCTAAAGATAAAAAAAAAATCTCCACAATAAAACAAAATTTTAAAGATTTATTTTGAAAATCTGGTTTATTTTACTTATTCTTATCATTTTCATTGCTTCTTATCATTTGCTACATACTTTAAAGTATCTTTATTAGTTAATACAGATTTTAGTGAAAATAATATCTCAAAATATTTTTTTTTTTATAATGAAGTACCAATAAAGATAAGTATTAATTCAATAAAACTGTATCATCCAAAATGTAAAATTTAGGTCTACTTTTTTTTAACAGAAAATAATAAAAATCATCAATAATCATAATTAATGTAATAGCTATTNGCAGGAAAAACTGTTGCCATGAATGGGTGAACCTGATTTGCAACTATGTTCAAGTAGCTTACAGACGTCAGGGATTGTTCTATGAGGATTATGGGTCCTAATGTTCCCCATGAAAGCATTGTTCCTCAACGAGAAACCATGAAGACCTGGAAGAGCCCATTGTTATAGATGGAGGGTGATCAAAATGTAATGGCTCTTCGGTGTATATATAGTATTTAGAAGATAAAAGATAATACATATGCTTAAGGTACCTTTGACTCCTATAGCTTCTTTGCACGTAAAAGGTACTCCGAGTAGCGGTGTATCTCTCTCAATATCATCCAGACGCTTTTCATTTTTATCCAAAAAGATATCGATATTTCTTGCATCTTTCAGTGCATCTTCATATCTCTCGTCACAAGCTGCATTAATAAAAGGATGTACCTCCCGGGATCTTTCCACGTAAGCTTTCATTACATCCTCACATTTCACCTGCATTGAAACACTTTACTTATTATACTTTTTCAAGTTTGTGTACTGACTTACGGTCACGAGAAAAACTATCTCAGGGATCCTTATCCAAGAAAAAGAATAAAAAAATTGGGAACAAAAGCATTTAATTTCGGAAGGAGTAAAAAAGATCTTATTAATTAATTAATATGCTATATATGCAAAATAATTATTGTCTTATTAATTAATATACCATAAATACAAAATTGTTTCATCCATGAATCCAGCTATTAATTAAAATTTATAGGAATTTGGATTGAATTGGCTTCATATGGCGCGGAGCGACTATTCACGCAGGGTTGGGGGTGAAAAAGGGCGACTGAAAAAAAAAATGTGGCGATTAAAAAATTAAAAACATTTACAAAGAATCTTTTTGATTTAACTATGAATCATTTGAAATGAAAGTCATAGTTGTAGTTGCAATTGAACATTTAAAAAGATTCTGAATAAATAAAAATGAATTGAGTTTCTACCGCTTTTTAAATTCTTAGTCGTCCGTGGCACCCCTGTCCAGGCCAGCTGATGCTCTGATAAGTGTGGCCGTAGGCAACTGAGACAAATGGCGTGAAGGTCATTAATAGCAAGAAAGGCAGTTGGCTGCTAATGTAGTTGTCAGTATAAGCAGATTGATATCATGATATAGTAATAGTAACATTGAAAAGTAATGGGACACTTTTATACTAACTTCAACATCAACAATTTTTCTTTCAGTAATAAATGTTTTGGAAGTTTTTACATGGCAAAACTGTAAGCACAATTTGAAAGATCATGCTTGAAGCTTTTGAAATTGGTGTCTATTTTAACCTTGCAAAATTTGTTAAAAACTGATTTCCTTTATTAATACCAATACAATTTAAAAAAATCATCCTACAAAGTAATTGTTGGTATAAATTTGAAAAAAGTTATTGTATTCCATTGCACATTTTGTTTAATCCGATCTTTGCATGTGTAAAAATGACATTATTTTTAAAAGCTTCACGCAAGATCTTTCAAATTTCGTCAGCAGTTTAGCCATTTAGAATCTACGAAAATATTGGTTGCTGAAAGAAAAATTGTTTGCATAGCGATAGAACGGAAGTGTTTCTATTATTTTGATCAACCCTTTTTTGTATTTTAAATTTAAGAATTATGGTGAATTTTCTCCCTTGGTCATCTCCCTTCTCTGGGAGTATCCATTATATTCGGCTGGCAAATTCCACGAAAGCAAAAAATGTACTGTGTGTTTAGTCACTTTATTTAATGTTAAAATTATATAATAATGAAATTTTTTAGAAAAATGTACCGAAAGGTAACAAAAATCAACATACGACACAAAATGTATAGTAACTTTCTAAAAACGCAAAAGAATTTCTGGTGTTGTTTTATGTTAAGGGGCTCCAATGTTATTTTTTATTTTTTTATTTTCTTTTGTATCGTTTCTTTTTTTCTTTTCTTTTTTTCAATTTTTTAGATATTATTGCAATAATAAAATCAATTTGTTTTCTCATTTTAAATTCACTTGAAAAACATGGTTTAAAAAAAAACATTTTTCTGTAAAAAATACTTGTCTATTTTCTATTATTAAATAAGAACACTGGATTTTTTTTTAGCTTTAATATTTGGCGAATACGTCTTTGATATTGTACTTTTTTTTCTATTTTCTAAAATTAATGTTAAATCATAAGTGTAGAGTTTGAACTTATATTTAAAATTTATATCAGAGTTAGCTGATAAAGAGAAAAATGCATTTTTATACAAAAGGACAAAATTAAAAAAAAAACAATCATTCTTACCTGCCGCGATCGAATTTTTTCAGCAAGTTCGGAAGCTGTGTAAAGTAATAAAGGATTGCGTATGGGAGGTAGTGGTTTTGTAGGTCCCATGAAAATTCGGTACAAAATCGAAAGAATTTTGTCAGACAATGGTCGTGTGAATGTTAGAATTATCCTCAAAATGTGTCCAATCGAACGTGCTACCTAAAGAGAAGGAACGGGTAAAATTAGAAAAAAAAATTTATTTTACTTCTTCAGTGTAACAAGCAATCACCCCTTAGGGGAGAGTGTGTTAAGACCGGGTATCTCGATTGTATGGGAATTAGTTCTCTTTTCTATGGGATAACCTTACTAGTGAAGAAGGACCTTCCATATTAGCATGCTCTTGTCAGTTAATTTACGGAGCCTGAATGAATAAGTTTGTTTTAGTTAGTCAACTAACTAATATTCTCTTGTTCTTAAGCTACCTTTATTTTTCATTAGAGCTGTAAAAATTAGCTTTAGTTCAGCTTATAATACGTTTACTAAAGGTTCATACCCTAGCAAATTATAGTAGCACTGTTATGTTTCGTTACGATAACCTCTGCTCTCGTGATAAGACTGGGTACTCCCTTCATGTGTTTCTGTGCCCACGAAGGCTACAGTGCAGCGGATGAAGAAAACAACGACATCGAAAGCTGAGCAAATATTTTACAGGTCCCGGGACAAAATTTAAGGATTCTTCAAAGTACAAAAAACCTTGTTTTCACATTTGTTGAATTTTTAAAAAGACTTTATATAATATTGTAGTTTTATATCAATAAAAAAAATCTAAGTATATTTTTCGAAAAAGAGAAAAACATATTTATAAGCACTATATTTAATTAGAATTTTGTTTTTATTTTGCCCACAGAGAACCAAGAAAATTATGTTTTGTCGATGTTTACAGGAAGTTAGTTGAAAAAAAAGCATTCGTGTCTCAAGGGAAGAAAATGGATAAAATTAGATAGTTGGGTGAGAGACAGAACGAAATGAAACTAGATATATTTTTTTTCTAGTTTCTGAATATTACAATTGAAAATGCATGAAGTTTTTAATGATTATAAAAGAAAATCGCGAAACATCACTCGTGAAAATATCAAATATATTTTTAGAAAATCACAAAAATCAATTTTATCCTCATAAACTTTAGAAGTCCCTGATAGGGGGCCCTAAAATTATACGAGCCCTGATTAAACTGGCTCTGACTGGAAATGACCGTTTAGTTTCTGAAAACTCCTAATGGTATACTATTATTTGTAAAATTTTGTAATATGTATTGTCATAGTTTTTTCCAGAGTTATTTAAAGTATTACAAACAGATTTTTTGTAACAAAAAAAAAGATTATGACGTAATGGGAAAATTATGAGCTAGATTGTTTGAAAGGACCACAATTCAGCTGATATTAACAACTTCAAAGTTGAAGAGATTCAGAGGTACTTCAATGCCTCTGTGTGTATTAGAACTCTCTCAATTAGCTCAATATTAGCTCTAATGCTATGTTTAGCTCCAATTTACGATTTACGAAACATTTCAATAGTATAAAGTAAGAAAATATTTCTCTGGTCAACATTTAAATACGAAATCAGTCTTAGCAACTCTTTAATACCGAATTCTTTGCAAAAAAACTCTTTTAAAGAAGGAATATAATATTAAGTTCCATTAAAGTATACTTGCTGAATTAAACAAAAAGCACCAAAAAATTTTTGAACTTGTAACAAAAGGCACTGATTGTTAAATTTATTGAAATTAGTTTAAAATTTAATGTTAAAATTATGTAATAATAAGATGTTTTGAAAAATGTAATGAAGGGCAACAAAAATCAACATACAACGCAAAATATTTAAATATTCTTGATAATAGTGATGAGGATAATCAAACAATTTTCTCACAATCTTCTCGAAAACCATTTCTAATTGTTATTTAAGAAACAATTTGATGATTTTAACATATATTTAAATAACTAAATAATATAGACAAATAGAGTTCATAAATATTTAACCAAACGATTTCAAATACTAAATGATAATACCAACATGATCCATTTTACACAAATGATGTTTGTAATTGCTTTTTGAAAGCTAAAATACTTAAGATAAATATCGTCGGTGATTGTTAATTTAGCAATTTAATTTTTAATTAATTAATTTTTTAATCAGTTCATTTTTTTTGTTTATCAGATATCCATATCGAGGCCAAGTTGTGAAATCTGTCCAGATTCCTGGGGGAATAAAAATATAAATTTACATAAGAGAATTACTTAGTTAAAAAGAAAAAAAAAAGATTAAAATTCTTGATGGAGAAAAATTTTTCTTTTAAATCCTATATGTATATTTTGATTCTAAAATGATTAAGAAGTTTCTCGAATTAAAAATTAGTTTAAAATTTTATGTTAAAATTTTATAATAACATTAATTTTAAAAAATTGTAAAAAAGACAACAAAAAAAATGAACAAACAAAATAATTAAGAAAATATTGTTGATAATAGTTATAAAGATAGCCAAACGATCTACTTACAATTCTCTCGAAAGCCATTTCTATTTGTTCTTTAGGAATAAAAAAATTCGTTTGGTGTTATTTTAACTAATATTTGAATAACTGAACAATGCAGAAAAACACAGTTAAGAAATAATTAACCGAATGATTTTAAATACTACTAAATGATACTGAGAACATGATTCATATTACACAAATGCTGTTTGTTATCGTTCTTTGAAAGCTAAAAAAAATTGACAAGAAAATCGTCTGTAATTGTTTATTTTATGAGTTTATTTTATTATTTTATGTTTGTTTATTTTATCAGATGCTCTTCTTCGAGGCTAAGTAGTTAAATTTGGTCCAGGATGGAAAAAAAATGTTAACTTACATAAGAGATTTACTTTCTTGAAAAAAGAAAAAAAGCATTAAGATTCTAGACAGGTGACAAAAGAATTTTAAATAGTATACACTTTTGATTCTATGAAAATGATTGAGAAGATTCCCGGTTACATTTTTTATTAATCAGTAATGGTCGTCTTACGTAATATCATGAGTTACATAAAAGGTAAGTTTTATTTTTTTAATCAGGTGATGTCTATTTTCAGATAATTTGTTACTTTATATAATCCCATGATTTTTACTTTATATACTTTATATACATGATTTTTACTTGGTTACTTTAAATAATCCCATGATTGCTGTTAATAATTTTCTCATATTTTGCTGCGCAATTTGTTTTAAAATAGAATTAGAAGAAAAGTTTGTTTGA